GCTGTTCGCAGCCAATCTCTTGGGCGGGTGCGGCGGGCTGTGTTGGATTGTGCGGTACCTTGCCGTTGGAGATGGCCTACGGAGGGAAGTTTACCTGCAATTCAAACAGTCGGACTTCGCGGCGTCTCGACAGCTCATTGCACGTTCCACGATTGTTCGACGTTCTTTTGCTAGGCTGTCCGGCGTGACGTGGCTACGTGCGCCTTGGCCATCGCTCCTTGCGGCTGCTCGTCACACCCGCTACCTGGTTGATCCTGCCAGTAGTCATATGCTTGTCTCAAAGACTAAGCCATGCACGTCTAAGTGTAACACTTTTCACTGTGAAACTGCGACTGTGAAACTTTGCACTGTGAAACTGCGAATGGCTGCGGTGCGTTAGGACCGGGGGAATAGTGCGTTAGGAAATTTCTTCGCGCGGCAAATTGCCGCGCGATTTTTTTTTGGTCAACTTTTTTTCGATTTTCCGGCGTGCGGAGTTCGCCGCGATGACCTAGCCGGGAATAGTCAGTTGAGAATTCTGCAATAGTGGTAGAGGGGAAACGAATTTTGGGGACGTCGCGTTGACGAAATTTGGACGGCTGAAGGCGGGAACGACTTTTCGAGGGCGGGAGGCTGGATTCGGCCAAAGTTGACTCCGTGGACGCGCGCTGACAAGGAAACACATCGGAATAGGGTTTCGAAAACGGAAGGGGTAGACTGGCGGAAGGCGGGAAACGGTGCTGGCCGTGCTGATGCACGCTGAGGGAAGTAGGGTTTTGAGAACAGGATCGGTTGGCTGAGCGGACGCGTGTCGACGAGGGGGGACTCGAGACTAGTTACTTGGACGATGTCGTCGGGGGCGACATGAGCCTCGGGTATGGAGGCTTGGGAGCAACTCCTTTTTCTGGGAATGGTGATCGGTGCATGGCTGGTGGGGAGAAGTGAGGAGATAATCGTGGAGCGAGTGTTCGTAGCAGGACAAAGGCTTGTGACGAGATCTCCAGAGCTTGTTGCGGTTACCGGGTGGTTGCTGACTAGAGTATTGGCATATGGTGGAAGAGCGGTTTGGTTGGGTCTTGGATGTGGAGCGGCTGTTATAGAGGAGGGAGTGATTGCTCGTGCAGGCTGGAAAGTGGGAGAGTCGTGGCAGGAGCTGGTCTTGAAAACAGGGGATGGATGGGTGGTAACGGTTGCAGGGGCGTCGGTAGTAGCAGGCTGGGGGTGATACTTCGTTCGGAACAATAGAGCGCCAAGAAGAGTCGGCGGCTGTGGAAGTTGACAGAGTGGGAGCCCGGTGTCGAAGGAGGGGGAGGAGGAGGAGGGACTTCGGGAGCAGGGAGAACCCCTAAAACGACGACGGCAGATCGTGAAGCGTGGTCCGAGAAAACGGGTCTTGGTCCGGCGGTGGGGGTTTCGTGGGGGCATACTGCCAGATCCGGACACAGATTCAGGAGGGGAAGCGGCATCTGAAAGATCGAAGGGCCGAGGGGGTGTTGGTACACGTTGTGCGGAACTCGGCGCCTGGGACGAACAAGAATTGGACTGAAATGGCGGAGGAAGTGCACAGCGAACATGGGGAGACTGGGCCGAGTGATATGTTGGAGTGGATGGTCATGAAAAGAGTTCGAAGAGCGGCCTTGCGTGGGGTTTTCTTGGAGGATGTGGCGAAAGGATGTGGCGAAAGGATGCGTCGAGGAAGGAAACGAGGTGTGCGTTGAAGTAAGTGAGCGACCGCTGGCTTCGCATGTTACATACCTGCGGGCGCACCTGCTGATCGTCCGTTTTGCTGGAGCCCTTGGAGAATTCTCGGCAACCAAAAAGGTGGAGCTGGTTAAGACCTGGGAGGAGGGTTGGCCCAATATGGGGAGAGGAAGATTCCAAGGGAGAACGACGGTTGAAGGGAAAGAGAGAGCCATATACTGGGCGCCCACAGCCTTTCTCCGCATCTGGCTGCTACAGACAAGGTTGAAAGAGGTGGTGATCATCGACGATCGAGAGTATGAGGCCAACTTTGAAGCATGGAAGAGCCGCGTTGAGCTACAATGGGACCGTCTTATGGACCGAAAAGATCATCCATGGGTCAGGTTTTTACACCCCTCACCAATGGTGCGCCCGCTTCTGCGGGTGGCGGCGGATGGCACCTTCGGGAAAGTGATAAATGGGGAAGGGGTGCAGATCATAGATGCGACAGGAAGGGAGGAGATCCGCTTTGACCTACAGCCACCTTTGAGGCACATTGGTCTGCAACGCCTGACGTTGAATTTGAACTGCCACGGCCGCCCGCAGGTAAGATATCTCACTAGCGAGACCCCATGGTGTGAGTATTGTCACCGCCACGATCATCTGGTCGGGGTGGTGGGGTGCTTATCTCTGGAAGGGACAAAGAGGGAGCTTGTCCGACGGGAGGCGAAACTGATGGATGACCCGGGTAGGCCACGGGATGTTGGTGCTGAAGTGGAAGGATGGGCGTGCTTTGAGCAAAGATTCGACAAAGTCATTAGTGCGGAACTGCTGCTTGAGGAAAGTCTAGGGGAGGTGATGGCCTCACCCGCGGAGGACCGACAGAGGGAACAAAAGGAGAGTGTCGGGAGTGAGGGTGCAGAGGGGATTGCCGAGGCTAATATAACGAAGGGACTGGTACAGGAGGTGCGAAGAGAAACGGGGGAGAAAGGAGGGGAAGGAAGTGGAGAAAAGAATGGAAGCCAACACCGGCACCAGAACACAGATGCAGAAGGGGATGCCCCCATGAATGAAAGACAGGAACAGGCACGGGAAGAGAGGACAGAAGACCAGGGGGAGGGCCAGGGAGGCGACATCGGGAGTGAGGGCGACGAGAGAAGGACCGGCGGACAAGGCCGGCGTGAAAACCAGAAGGACACCTTGGGAGAGGACCGAGGCGGTGTGCCGGGAGCCGTGGAACGGGGATCGCCTGTTGTGGAGTGCACTCAGTTGGGGCTGCAGGACCTGATGCATGAAGTGACGGGAAAGGACCGAGGCGGTGTGCCGGGAGCCATGGAACGGGGATCGCCTGTTGTGGAGTGCGCTCAGTTGGGGCTGCAGGACCCCATGCAGGAAGTGACGGGTCCAACACCGGCACCTGCCCAACCATAGAATGACGGTCCGCACTCGGAGTTGCAAGACCCTATGCAGGGAGTGGTGACTCAATTGGCCGCCGTTGCTATGCCGCCGCCAACGACGGGGTTGCAGGACCCGAGGCAGGGAGTGTCGAGTCCAACACCGACACTTAGCGACCTGCCAACTGCTGACAGCGCCGAGTGGCGCCTGACTATCGAGCAGGATCCTATGCGAGGAGTGCTGGTTAAAACAGTGGAGATGGATCAATACTCGGGTGTGGAACGCTCGCCGAGGACTAAGGAGCCTATTGACATTGGTCGGGAAATGCCACAGGCTTCTGAGACAGAGAAATTGCTCCATATGGCGAGCACAACTAGATTGTCGCCAGACATGAACGGACATGCACAAGATAGGGTGGAATATACGAGGATGAGGGCTGGGCAGCAAGCGGCCGGAGATACGGCACAGGAAAAGGCGTTGAGCGAGCCCAATGAGGTGCGGGTGCTGGGACCAGGAGGGCCCGGTGCCGACGGGTCGAAGGCGTTCATGAAGGAAGTTGATACGGTAGGGATTGTCACCGCGGGGAGCAAGGACGGAGCCAACCAAGAAGAAGACAGTGAGGGCCGGCGGGGACTGTTGGCATGGATTGAAGATATGAACAGATGCCCCATGACGCGCTCGACGTGGACCTCAGATGTGGATGAACAATGGGATGCTCTATGGCGCGCCACGCACCCGCCTGAAGAATCATGGGGAGGGTCGGCATCATGGTCTATTGAAAGCAGGCATCCTCAATGTCGAATTGGGTTGGGGTTTCGAGGATTCTGCGCTGCTACACTCGCAATGACGTTCCCTCAAGCTCAGCCATCTGGCCAAAACAAAATGGGCAACCAAGAAGGGGGGCTATGCGCTGCGGCACTTACAATGACACTTCCTTTAATCAAGCCAGCAATTGAGCTACGGACCGCTTCGACTCGCATATGCGACGAGCCGCTGGCTGGAAGGGGAAGCGGCAATGGACCGAACGGAGGCCAGGCCAGAAATCAGGCCGGTGGAAGGGGGATGGTCGAAGCACAAGAAGAAGTGGATGGCGGGGGATGGGATGTGAATGTTGGGAAACGAGGGGACATGAATGCTGGAAAACAGGGGGCGCTGGGAAAGCGACCTCGAGCTCGACGCAAAACAAGGTCCCGCGGAGAGGAACAGGCGAAGTATGAGCGGAATGACAAAGGGAAGCAACCAATGATCGAGACATCCTCAAGTGACGAGGATAGCCCCCCACACAAGAAAACGGCGAGAGCGGAAAGAAGAGGATTGCTGCAGAAGGAGGTGCGATTAACTCCTCAGGTGCCGCTGTCGATACTGGGAGCCCTGCCCCGAGGAGGACCGGCCGAACAAGTACAGTCCAGTCGGCACACTGCAATCGCCAGCTGTGGGGAGGTGGAAAGGCGACAGGGGAACTTGTCACCACCATTGCCTCAACCGTTGCCTATAGGGAGACGTCTTCGCCCGATTTCCCCAGTACTCCCAAGGAGAGGGATCCGGCTGAACTCACCTGCCCCGGGTGGCAGGGGGGATAGTGAGAACAGAGAAGAAGAGCCGGGGCGACAAACAGAAGGCCGCAACATCGACTCGCGGGAGCAGGCGCGGACCTACAGCCAAAAGAGGATAGTCTTTCTAGACGGGGCCTTTGACGATCTTCGGCGTAAAGACAAACTCCGATTGGTGCCAATCATCTTCAAACAAAGCACAACCAGCCTGGACATATTGGTGAGCATGGAGGGCCCGGTGGGATCCGAAGTTCGGCTGGCCATGGCATCGTTCGAAGAGCACCCGTCTCAACAGCGCGTGTTAACAGCGGCGAAAGAATGGGTGGGAGAAAACTTTGATGTCGCACCAATTCCGGGAATTTCAGCTATCCGCCTGGTCGAAAAAACGGAGGACGACACACTGATGGGCCTGTATTGCTTCTTGCTACGTGCCGACTTTCGCTTTGAATCGGCTCTCCCGGCACACTCACCGCCGTTCATATGGAGCGACTTCAAACTGTTATTTGAGCAAACTCGGCTCGCGGCTGGACGAGTTTCAGCAAACACAGTGGCCATCTACGTATTAAGGGGATAGACCAACGTCTTCCGGATGACAAAAAATTCACCTGCTGCACGTTCTGGCTTGCGGTTGGTGAATGGATTGTTGGGAGAAGGTTTCGACAACGCTCTTGTCAGATCTGCCGAGGGGCGACCTTGACAATGTCAAGGGGGAGTGCCCAGCACACAGGGCCGACGGTGCGACAGCCCGAACAAGGAAGGCAAGGACGTCGGCAACCGCCACCGCAGCGGAGGTCAAGGGTGGCTGCCTCCACAGGCTCGTCCTCAAGGGTACATCGTAGGCGACGGCCATGAACCTGGAAGGCAACAATGGAGAGGGAGAGGGAAAGCAGGGGAGAAGAAATGCTTTGCAGAATCACCAACTGACTAAGTAGGATTGGACAGATTAAGAGAGCGGACGACTGCTGGGGCAGGGGACATGTAGAGTTTGTAAGGGGTTCACGATAGATGGAAATAAAAGGAAGTAAGGTAGGATAGGGCCACTGCCGCCGTGGCATACGAGGAAGGACGGCGAGATGTTGCAGTGTGAGCAGATAATGGGTATAGGTGCGCTGGACTGACTATAAGTCCACATAGAACCGATAGGAAAAGTAGAAGAGTCCCGGCGGAGAGGGGTCGACGGCTCATGGCCAGAGAAGGTTTGAAAGTAGCCTCCCTTAATACTAGAGGGCTGGGAGCGAGATCGATCAAATGAAAGACCAAGGAAATTTGGGGGATAATAGAAACGGAGAGGATACAGGTGATATGTCTGCAGGAGACAAAACTACGTGAAAAGGATTTACGAAATGGGAGAAGGCCAGAATTGGGCACAGGGTTCCAGACATGGGCACCGGCTGAGGGAACAAGGGGGGGGGTCGCAGTCATAATGACCAAGTATTTTCAGGGTAGAGTGCCGGACTTTTTCACAGATTCGCAGGGTAGGTGGGCATGGGTCTGGGTGGAGATGGGCACAGAAAGAGTGTAGGTGGTGACAGTGTATGCCCCTCCGGGCATTACGGAAAGAAAGCGGTTTTGGCGTTTCTTGCCTGCTCATATTCCGGACACAACAAACACAATGATTATGCGGGACTTTAACACAGTGGTGTGTCCAGGTCTGGACTCGCCGTTTCCAGGGGTTACAAGACCAGACTCGGAAACTCTGCAAACGATGATGGCAGAACCCATGATGGAGGCTGCATTCCGCCGTATGTGGCCAGCTGAGAAAGGATATACATGGATTGGATCTGGCCCAACCAGAAGGAGTCGCCTGGACATGGCATGGATGCAGGAGGGGTTGCTTGAACGACTGGTGACTATATCAATACTCCCGGTCGCCTCGTCGGATCATAAAATGCTCATAACGGAAGTGTTAGTGTCGCAGGGGGTGGACACAAGACCGGCGCCGTCCTCCGTCCCGCATTGGATGTTCAAGGACCCGCTTCATGTTCGTCTGGCATGTCAACATTGGGAATACTGGGACACTCTGCGACGCCCGTCAACCTCGCCGGTGGTGCATTTGCAGCTTGGCTTAGCCGAGCTCTATCGAATTATGCTGGCCAGAGCCAGGGCTACCAAACAGGCACACCTCAAGATCGGGGAGGAGTTTGTGAGGCACATGGAGGAGCTAGGAACGGACCCGCCCGTGGACGATGCGGATGACTGGTGGACATAGTGGACGGAGCTGCACTCGCAATGGGAAGACTGGCAACGAAGAGATGCGGAACGGTGGGGGCTAGCATCGAAATCCAGATGGATGGAGAAAGCGGAGAGAATGTCTGCGGTCTTTTTTGCGGTGACCCGGAAACAGAGGACTGCCGCTGTGATGACAACATTGGATCACCCCTTCGACCAGTCCCTCCCGCAAGCCACTACGACGCCCCAGATACTGAACCATGCTCATCAGTTCTACTCCTGGCTTTATCAGGAAACGGAGGAGTGGGAACCACAGGCCATGGCGGACACCCCGCGCCCGGCGGTTTGGTTCTGCTGTCAGACAAGCCTCGAGGACCATCAAACGCACGATCTGGAAGCAGACATTACGCCAACTGAGATCTCGAGGGCACTGGCGGACTTACCGAAAAACAAAGCCTCGGGCCCGGATGGGGTCCCAATGGACCACTTCCATGCGGTTGGGGAGACAATCATGTCACTGCTCTGCGATGTTCTTAATGTCTTGTTCACAAATGGGGCTCGGATGTCGCCGAACTTTGGAGAGGTCGTTCTGGTGTTGCTGCATAAAAAAGGGAGCCCGTGGGAGATACGAAATTGGAGGCCTATTTCGCTGTTGTCGGCACCGTATAAACTGTATGCTAAAGTCTTAGCCAACCGCTTGGCAAGTGTGTTACCGACACTGATAGACTCGACACAGACGGGCTTCGTCCCGGGGCGGCTAATATTGACAAATGTCATAACAGTCCGGGACATTCTTGACAGAGCTGCCGAAGTGATACCGCCCATTGCTGTCCTTCTTCTGGACTTCGAGAAGGCATATGACCGAGTGAGATGGCGATTTCTGCAACAAGGGCTGGCGGAGAGGGGAATGGGCCCTAGATTTCGGGATGCGGTGGCCTGCTTGCTATCCTCGGCGGTGGCGTGGCTGCAGATCAACGGCTTCCGCACGGAGCTGGTGCAGGTGTCTCGGTCGGTTAGACAGGGATGCCCCCTGTCCCCTGCACTGTATGTGCTATTTGTGGAACATCTTCACGAGATGATCAGGATGGACGAGCGGATCAGAGGATTCCCTATGCCAGGGGGGCGGCAAATCAAATCGAATAGTTTCGCAGATGACACAGCGGCAATAACAGAATGCTCGCAGGAGAGTGTGACCGCTCTGCGCAAACAAGTGGACAACTTTGAGCGGTATGCAGGGGCAAAAATCAACTGGGACAAGTCCGCGGTGATCCTCCCTGTGGGGGCAGACCCGGCGCTGTTCGAACATATGAGAATACAACCAGGGGACCAGAATACTCTGTACTTGGGAATATTGCTGCCAGCGGCGCTCTCGTCTGGGGAGCAAATGCACAACTTGCTGGCGGCGGCACTCAGAAGAATGCATAGCTGGGCCAAAGGTGTGGACTTGGGGGTGTTTGGGAAAACACTGGTGGCTAACAACGCTGTGGTATGTTGCGCCTTTGTCAGACCCGGGAAAGAGAGCATGGCGGGAGTATAAATTGGCAGTGCGAAAGTATCTGTGGAAAAACGACCCGCTGGCGGAGCGACTCGTCTACCGCGTCCGCTGGGAGAAGTTGGTGCAACCACGGAAAAAGGGAGGGTTGGCGCTTCTAGATCCACATCTGCAGACTGATGCCCTGCAGATGCGCTCGGTCATATGGTTGCTGATGGAACGGGATGAGGCGCCATGGAAGATCCTGACATTGGCAAGCATGGCTCAGACCCTCAGGATGGACCCGGCGGACATGGAGATTGCCCTCCTGAATCCGTCCTTGCAGATGGGCCTCATGCAAGGGGCACTGTGGACTCCGACCCTGTCGAAATGGAGGAAGATGGATCTCAGGCAACTGCCGCCAGTCACAGTGGAGCACATTCTTGGCCAAACTATATTTGGTAACCGTCAGATCCTTTGCGACGGCCAACCTTTCCCCTGGTGTGGTGCTCCTGCTGCATTCGGAAGACAATGGCTCGATTGTGGAGCCTACAGGGTGGCGGACCTATGGGATCGGGAAAAGAAAACATGGAAGACCCGAGAGGAAATGATGCAGGTCCTGTGGAACCAACCTCACAAGCAAGAACGGCTGCAGCAGATCCAAGATACCATTCCACAGGAGTGGGTGCAGAGGATGCAGGCTGATGAAAGGGTGAGGGGGGAGTGGGTGGCTCTGGAAGCGGAAGAGGCGCCCAAAGTACTGTTCAGAATGGTGGCAAGGGTGACCGATCACTGGTTCCAGGTGGAAGGATGGGAGGTTGCGCCCTCGAAAGGGCCGGTGGGTGAACCGATGCGCAGGAACCCGGACCGGGACGGGACGGACTGCTGCACGAGCACAGCGTATGGCCAGTGGTGGTCGTCAAGGATAGGAAGCGCTCGGGAGGGGAAGTATATCGACCATTTAAAATTGCATTGCGACCCCAACAACTCTCCTGGGACCCGTCTGCATGGGAATGGCGAGCAAGGAACATGCAGACTAAACCCTGTCGACCACACCAGGTCACAACAAAGGTCATCTACAGATCGCTCAATGCTCCTGTGGACATGGCAATGGAAATGAGGGGTCGGTGGTTGAAAAGAGGGTGGATAGAGTCTAAAGAAGTTCCGGGCTGGACGACGAGAGGATGGGAGACGGCTTGCACACTTTTGACAATACGCGGGAGGACTGTGGCTGTCCTTGCACCTAGCGGTGCCCACCTTTCAGTGGATGGCAGCACACAGCGCTGCAGAAGACACGCAATGCAAAGCTTGCGGTCAAGAGGAAACTGTGCCGCACATCTGGCTGGACCGTGAACCACAGAGGGCATTCTGGCAATGGTGGGGGGAACAAGGCACCCACCTGCCACTGCACCCAACACGAGCCAACCATCGAGTGTCAGTAATGCTGGGACAGCTCCTGTCCGGAGAAGAACGCACCTGCTCTCAAGCGTATGCGGGGGAGACAGTCCGGGCGGCCTTCTGGGGGGCCATGTGGGCTATGAGGGCCCAGTTTTTAACATCTGCACAGAAAGGATCCGCACGGACACTACAGGCATGGACACTGATGAATCTTAAAGCGGCAATCACAGCGGACGCGGCGCGGAGACGTAAGGGTGGGTGGACCCTTTTCAGGCAGACATGGGCACCGTATCCAGACATCGTGAAAGTAGCGGAAGAACAGGGGGTGTGGGACTGGGTGGGGGTGTTTGGACGACCAGCCGCGAACGACCAGACTCAGGAGGACGACGAGGGGGTTCATCATCACGAGGACATGGGAGAGGAGGAGAGATTAGAGACGGGCACGCGATCGATGGCCGGGGATGAAGAGGAGACAGAAATGGACAATTCCGCAATGAGCTCTAAAGCTGAAGTTGCCGGCCCGAGTGACACTGTCGGGTATGACACAGCGGGGAGTGACAGCGGGACACAGCTGCCTGAAGACCCATGGGATAGCCTGTGCTGAGCGAACAGGATGTGGGGATGAGCGATACCAGAAATAGGTAGAATACTTGTGTGATGAAACAGAATAGATTGGGACTGGGAGGGGGAAACATAGCGATACCAGAAATGGGTAGAATACTTGTGGGAAGGGACAATATAGATTGGGATGAGGATGAGGCGACATAGGCTTAGCATCTGAGTTGATTAGTGTCGAAATGCAAGGGTCTGTACATTAGCAAGTAAGGGTGCTACGACATAAAACCGGAGCAGGAAGATGTGCTACGGGGGACGAAGGGGTGACAAACAAGGGGGGTGGGTCTGTACATTAGGAAATGACACGAGACTACCGTGACAAGTGGCGACACTGATGGATGAGAGGATAGGGGGAGGGAGGGGTAGTGGGAGGGAAGGGAGGGAGGGGGGAGGGTTACAGCTACCAACAGGAGATAAAAAGCACTCAGAGACACAGATTGACAAAACCTAAATAGAAATAACAGAGACGAAATATTGTGAGAAATGGCAACACGGGGGGGGGGGGGGGGGGGGGGGGGGGGGGGGGGGGGGGGGGGGGGGGAGGGGATTCTTGAGGGAGGGAGCGAGGGAGAGGGGAGGGATCTAGCGGACATTGGTCGGTCTGAGGCGTACATTGCGACTGGGTGCGGTATGCCTCCCGACAATATACACACCAGACAGACCATGGCTCGAGTTCATCTCTACCCACAACCCGACGCATGTGTGCTGCGTGCTCACACAGCATGATACTTCCCGAAACCTTCATACTGTCTGTGTCTGGTCTTTTCTATCCATTGGTCTTTCTTGCTTGCCGGTGATAAGCAACCGGACTGACGCCCCCCAGAATAGATGGGGCTTGTGAGTGTGGTGTGTTTAAAAAAAAAAAAAAAAAAACTGCGAATGGCTCATTAAATCAGTTATCAATTATTTGGTGGTCTCCTTACCACTTGGATAACCGTGGTAATTCTAGAGCTAATGCGTGCAGCATATCCCGACTTCTSGAAGGGATGTATTTATTGGATAAAAGGCCGATCCGGGCTTGCCCGTTGTTGCGGCGAATCATGGTGACTTGTCGAATCGCATGGCCTTTGAGCCG